AGTTGAGATTAATATCGACGAATAGAGCAAAGTTGTGATTAATGGTGACAATTTTTCCTTTCAAAAATTCTTTTTTTTTATGAAAACAAAACTGGCGATTGTCTTCTTCGATTTGCAATTAATTTTTGAAATAAAAATTAAGGGTTTGTTCTCATTGACTGAACTCAGCTGAACTGAACTGAATTGAGCTGAACTGAACTGAATTGAAATGAATATTTTATAAGAGAAGGAAATTAGGAGCTGAACTGAGCTGAACTGAACTGAACTGAGCTGAGCTGAACTGAACTGAATTTTAACGTAAGAGAACAGACCCCAAAAAGGAAAATCAGTATGAAGTTTGACCAATAAAAAATAAATAAAAAATCAACCAATGATAGTTGTTTTAGGGGTCACTAGTATAAATTTTCAACATATACGCACATTCTTCTATTTGACTATTTCCTCTTAATTCCCCGCAAAGAAAGGAGTGTGTCTCCATAAATTCCCTACCCAAATTTGAAAAAAATGATGAAATGTTTAACAAAGATGATACATGCAACATGCATCAAAAAACAACTTGATGCCGTAGGCATTTCCTTCCTTATTGAAACCATACAAATTACAATAATCGTAGTGACAAGTTGTGTTTAGCAACAACATATATTGATATATACATCTTATTTTGATTTCAGTGTACTATACATCTCAGGTTATATATCCATGAATCCATTGTATGTAAGAACGAAGTTGCTAAGAATCTAAGATAGCATGAAAATAGTCGTAATTTCCCTAAATGGATATATATCGGTAATAGTTACTTGCTAAGTGACACATGATCGAAAAATAAAACATACACTACCTCCGTTAACTTTTATTTACAACTTTAGAATATTTTATATCTCACAAATAATACCCCAAAGTTGCAAATAAAAGTTAAGGGAGGTAGTATAAATGACATGATTTTGATCTGATTTGGTCACATAGGTAATGTGAATTTGTGAAAAATTATAGAAAAATAATAATATGTTGGTTTCCAAATTCACGTGAAGTTTGTTCGGCATGTACGTAAACGCCGACTACTAATCGACGGGCCGTAAACTACCCAATCAGTTTTCGGTTTGTCTGCACCTTATCATTTTTATTTCCTGTACTAGTGTACTACGAATATTTGTATCTTTCTCTTAGTTTTACAAACTGAAATGTTACTCATAATGCATGCCATTTTATTTCACTTGACAGTTCACAACTTCACAAGCATTATTATTATAATGAAGCATGTAATCAACCACCATTATTTTGCTTTATTATAAAGAAAATATGTAGGAGTGATTAATTTACATTACTGTTGTAATCACATAAGATGACAATGAATGTGAAATCAAATAGGCTATATGCCTATATGGGGTTCGATCTGATGACGTTTACAAATTTGATGATTTGTGTTATGTGAGAATAATATTATCATGCTTTCGGGATAACCTAAAATGTTTGTCTTATCCTTTTATAAATGAGCTTGTCATCTAGTGATGTAATTGAATGGTTCTATTCTTTATTGGTGACCAATTATTTTGTACATTACATTTATTATTGTCTAAGCCTTAAACTCAATCTATACTACGAGTAATATATTAAAAGGTGTTTCTAACAACGTCCATGTGTCACGTAAACTCTCCTCACTACGCCACGTCACCCATGTAACTACTCATAACGCCACGTGGTTCTCCCTTCCATTTTCTTCATTTATGTCTTTCACTACTTATAATAATTAAAAAAAATGCTCACCACAAGATTTTTTATGTAATCTTTTGAATAAAAAATATTAATATGTAGCAAATGACAATATGAACCACAAATTTAATTACAAGAAAATTTAATCATAAATTACAACCTACATTAATGATCAATTCCATGTAAAAATTCGGGGCATCGTCCAGGTCTACAAACTAGTTTAAACTTATAACGAGTATGCTATTGTATGCATTAAGTTCATTAATTAATTTCTTTTCATTCAAATCTGGTTGGCACATTGCTTATACTTTTACATTAACCAGACTTCTCAGCTATTTATCAGTACTCCGTAACGATTATCCCTATTTTTAAAGTGAGAACTGGATAGTCGTGGTCACTACGGCTAATTTGCAAGTTACAAAACATGAAATGTTATTTTATTTTATTTTTATTTTTTTTTCAAAGTGCTAGATTTTGTAAAGCTCTTATAATGAAGTGAATTTAATTGATTATGAACTTATTTGGTAGAAGTGTTTGATGTGGCAATTAGCATTATTTGGACATTAAGACCAAGTCTAACATTATGTAATAGTAGAAAAAGTGATCAATCTTAGCTAAAAGTTTAATCAAATTCGCCCTAGATTTACGAGTGAGTTGTTAAATGATATCAAATAAACATACTTGCTCTGTTTCTTTATAGTTTCAACACTTATTTAAACTGGAAATATCATAATAATTGCAACACACTACAAAGGGAATGATTTTATGGTGAAAATTGTACTATTACCTTTATTTAAAGGTCATGGTCCACTTGATTATACTCCTAATAACCTCTTAACCCCAATTTTAGTGTATTATATCATGTAAGGTCCACTTTTCTTAAATACCATGATAAAAATATGTGTTGAAAGTAATACCGACTTACGCAATATAATATCATGAATGGAACCTATGGTCTACTTTCTTTTACTATTCTTTATCACAATGTAACTAGGTCGTCTAATTTTATTATTCGTTTTATTGTAAAATTTCAATGATTAGATCGATATGCAACAACCACAGAACATGGCAACATGCTAAAAGGTTAAAAATCAAATCTAGACTACAATCATACATACTCATCTCCCCATGTTCACATGGCCTCCCTTTTATTAACCAATAACCACACCTAATCTATTAGGATTATATGAATTATGATACTATATATAATCATTTTTTAGTTGAAGGATAACTCAAGTGGTTAGATTTTCCCTTTAGATTTTAGAAGATTCAGAGATTGATTCTCACCCTACCCAGGGGCGGATACAACTTGTACCAAGGGTATGCCTTTGCATACTTTGTAACTACATAAAAATAGAATTTGGTGCAATCTTTTAGCAATAATAATTTAAGTGTAGCTTGCTGGTTAACCAAGTGTTTTTAAAGCTTTCTTGAATTTTAAGTCTAGTCTAGAGTTCGAATCCCATTGTTACACATTTTTTCCAATCATTTTTTGTCTGACTACAACATGATTATCTAATAAGTATATAATTGTACATACCCTATATATGAATCTTGGATACGCCACTGACCCTGCCTTTGTGGCTCTCTATAGAAAATAATATGATAATTTTTAACCTAATATTCCTTCCAAACTTTCTCCCAATAACCAACTTTTCTATTGCGAAGAATGTATAAAAGTCATTACAGCTAATATCAACTAAAAATAAAGATGCAATCCAATAATTCTACTCGGGGCCAGACGTTACTCGAACGGCTACATTGACTCATCATTTTACTATGTTTACTTTTTAATTTATTTATTATTTATACTTACATTTTTTTTTAGATAGAATTAGGATTGCCTTTAAATTATTTATTTAAAAAAAAAGGGTAAACTAAACTTATTTTTTTTACATCACAAGCAATCAAATAAACATACAGTAATAAACAACTCCCACCTTTGTAATTATATGATTAAAGTCACCATCAAATCTAACCTTTAAAGTTTTATCAACCAAAAACTTTCATAATAAAAGAACCAATCCCAAAAGGCTTTATCCATAATTGCATGTGATTTAGTTAAAAAACATTTTCCAAAATAGAATTAATTTATGAACACGACAAGATTAAACTCTTACTTAGTACGGAATCTTAATTAATTATGAGTATTATATTTATTATCATCGAATGAACGTTTATAAAAAAAAATTTAAAAAAATTAATATATTCCCTCTATCAATTATCTAACACAGTTAATTTTGCACACATGTCAAGGCACTAATTTCAGTAATTTGACTTTATGTTAATATAATTAAATATTAATGAGAATTAATTTTAAATATTTTTTTAACACGTAAACGACGATAATATTAATTACTTAAAACGTTTACAACATATAAATACAAGCAGCTTCATTCCATAAACAAAATTAGAAGCATGCCTAATAGCTAAAATACATGATTTCGGAAAAACATTAACAAAATTAGAGATAATATTAATTATTTTTAAATATACTCGTACAATATTATGAAACTCTATATTAATATTATCGATCTTGCTAACGAGCGCCCCGGGGCGTTAGATAAGGATAAATTATATTGGTTGAAATGGTATTAAGTTAGGAATTCATGACAAAATCACGCGTCGTTCGGTGTAATTAATGTTAATTTTACTCTAATATTTGCACTTTAATTCTCTTATCTAACGCCCCGGGGGCGCTCATTAGCTTCATATTTAATGATAAAATATGCTTTTTTTATATTAGTAAAAAATTATGATAAAAACTAATACTCCCTCCGTTTCACTTTGTTAATCCCATATAGAATCAATCACAAAAAAATAAGAGAATGAATAATATTTGGAATCTTACATTTTAGTACAAAAATTGCTTAATTAGTTCTATCTTATTAAATGTTGTGATTTTTGTATTTGGAAAGCATCAATTACAATGCTTGTTTAATGGGATTGATGACCAATCAGAATACTTAATTACTGCCATGTCATCAATCCACTAATGGGATTAGAAATTATAAAACCAAATTAGGAAAATAAAATAAAATTTAAAAATGAATAGATTCAATATGGGTAGATCATTTTGAAACGCCCAAAATAGTATATGGGACTAACATTATGAAACGGAGGGATTACATAAATAATGAAAAAAAATCCCGACGTGAGACAGAGGGATTACTGTTCATTAATTCCACAAATCTCTCCCTGATTACTAACTTTCATGCAATCATACTCCACCGAAAAAAATTGTTGATTTGTTTTGTCTTGGTCCCTCAACCTCTTATATTATGTAAACCAAACGTACACATAAAAACAAATCTCACTTCCCCACATTTCACACCATATATCATACACACAAACTTTTTACATACTACTATAATATATTCCTAATTATTTTTCCTATTCTAAAATACTAAGACATCAACTAGCTTAGGATAGAATTAAACTATGGCCTCTCTTTTCCTCTGTTTTTTCCTCTGCCTCTCCTCCCTAATCATCTTACCTTCTTCTTCAAGCACAATTAATCTCAATCTTTCTCCTACTCCTACTCCGAAATCGTCGTTGAATCGATGGGATTTCACGTCCGACGTTGTTAAAACCGCCATCGAAAGAGCTCGGCAGCTCAAACACCCCCACAAAAATACATCATCTACTACTAGTGCTCTACATGGAGCTACTAGCATGCCTCTATATGCACGTAGCTACGGTGGCTACTCCGTAAACCTCGCATTTGGTACGCCACCGCAGAGCATCCCGCTCATTTTCGACACCGGTAGCAGCCTCCTTTGGGTCCCTTGCACGTCAAAGTATGCTTGTGCTAATTGCACCTCCTCTAAAGTTGAACCCTTCCAACCAAAGTTATCCTCTTCTACTCGTGTCATAGGGTGTCGAAACCCGAAATGTGGGTGGATCTTTGATGCTGATGAGGCAGCCCGGTGCGGACCGGGATGTGGGTCGAACTGCAACCGGGGTTGTCCAAGCTATGTTCTTCAGTATGGTAAGGGTGCCACTAGTGGGGTTGCTATTTCGGAGACGCTTGACTTGCCTGGCAAGCCGGTCCGTGACTTTCTCCTAGGTTGCTCCCTCTTGTCGATACAACAACCGGCAGGGACCGGGATTGGCGGGTTCGGGAGAGCCCCTACGTCTCTCCCGAGCCAGCTCCAGCTCGGGAAGTTCTCATACTGTCTTATCCCTCATAAGTTTAATGACGGATCAAGAAATAGTAAGTTGTATCTCGCTGGCAAAGGGGGAAAAATCTCCATTGCCAGCGAGGGTAAAGGTGGTGAAATTGAGTACACACCTTTTTATAAAAACCCTACTAAGGCCCCTTACAATGAGTATTACTATGTCAACTTAAGAAAAATTACTGTTGGTAAAAAACGTGTTAGGTTACCATATAAGTATCTTGTCCCCAGCCGCATTGGGGACGGGGGTACCATAGTGGACTCTGGGTCTACCCTTACTTTTATGGAGCAACCATTGTTTGAGCCGCTCGTGAAAGAGTTGGCTGCACAAATAACCGAATACAAGCGGGCACACGACGCGGAGGCGTTTTCGGGTTTAGGGCTATGCTACGAAATTAAGGAAGCACGAAATGTTTCGTTCCCGAAGCTCGTATTTCACTACAAGGGTGGAGCAAAGATGTTAATGGCAGTGGATAATTACTTCTCGTTTGTTGGTGATTTGGGTGTTTGGTGCTTAACTATTGTTACCGATGCAAGCTTAGCTGGGCCTAGTGTGCATGTTGGGCCGGGTATAATATTGGGTAATTTTCAACAACAAAATTTCTATATTGAGTATGATTTGGAGAATCAAAGATTGGGTTTAAAGAAGCAAAAGTGTGCATAACAAATTAAAGTAGTGAATTTTTTTTCATTCCTTCTCCATTTGTAATCGATTTTTTTTTTTTTTCCCTATGTAAATAAAGGAGGCGTCAAGTTAAGATTATTGGATAGTCTTCAATAATCTTAGAGCTACATTGATTTATTCAAGTTGGTTCAATTTTATAAGTGATGATTTTGTTTAAAGTCTCCAAAAATTAGAAATTATTTACATACGTTTCATGTGTGGTGTACTACATTCAGTTTATTATTCGTAAATTACAATATTGTCTATCATGTAATACCGCATAATGTGTATGGTACTGAATAAGAAAAACTTCGCCGTATGTAAAATTCTCTCACAACTTCACAAAGTCGTAACCTCTAAAAGTTTAAAATATTCAAAAGGAAACAAAAACTTGTATATAAATATATATTAATCCATAAAATCCAATTAGATTGAGATTTAAACGGTTAATATAGTTGGTGAATTATGTAAGTAGATGAAATTTGATCTCAACTCTTGACTTCTTAAGTACCGTCCCTTAAGATTTAAACCAGTTGATTATCCTGACGGTAATACTTAAGTTATTAGAATTCTGTTTTGGAATAAATGGTTAAAAGTTTAATCATGTTAATAAGGTAAACTTCAAATTTAGCGTAGTAAATATATATATATATATATATATATATATATATATATATATATATATATATATATATATATTCAAACCTTTGTAAATAATCCAAATTTAGACTTATTATAGGTGAGAATTAAGAAAAGATTAATTAAGTTTCTAACTTTTTATTATCCCTCATATGTGTTTTTTTTTCTTTTAAAAAGAAAATAAAATAGAAGCAAAAATATGAGGGTTCCTCTCAGTCCAGATTGATTGAGCTATAAATGTGAACCTTTTGGAATTGGCATTCAATACGGATTGCATATTGATCCTCTCAGACTTCTCAGTCCGGATTGATTGGGCTGTTATTCTGTAAATGCCCATAGGCTTGTTGTTCAAGTAAGAGAAGTTGAGATCGGATAACATGTCATACATTTATTTTGTGATGACTATCATAATAAACAAATAAATCTAATATATATAAATAAAGTAGGTATTTTTGGAGAGCATTGGGAGCGCCACATAAGAAAAGGTATATTTTCGACCAATCAAAAATTAGATTTCTATTTTATTTTAGAATTATAAAAATCACTCGCCACCTAAACAAAAGTGACGAATGAAATTTTAAATTTTTTCCACGTAGGTAAAAATGACGAATAGTAATTTATTAGGATTTTAATTATTTAAGAACACTAAATTTTATCATTTCTATTTGTTACAAAACTAAAAATTATCTTTAGATATTAGGATTTATATTATTTAAAAAACTAAAAATTATATTTTGATATTTAAAAAATATAAACTATTATTTGATTTTAATGGATTTATGTAAATATCTGATGATATGATACTTTTATACAAAATTTTAAAACTTATAATGCAAGAAAAAAAATTAAGAGATCACCAAAAAAAATTATATACAAAATGTATATTAAAATTTGTGCATCGCACGCCACATAAGCAAAAGTAATATTTCGACCAATGAAAAATTATATTTATAATTAATTTAGAATTTTAATTTTCAGTCGTCATTTAAGAAAAAATTACCAAATGAAATTTGAGAATTGAAAATAAAAAATAGTAATTTAATATTTAAATTATGAAAAAAAAAACAAAAATTATCTTTTATATTATCTTTTACATTAGGATTTATATTATTTAACAAATAATTAGAAATTCAAAATTATATTTTGATTTAATTATTTTATCTAACTATCCGATGAATGAGATAATCTTTATTTCAATTTATATATTCAAGTTCTATATACGTAAAATTTGAATAAGAATAATTTAAAACTCAACAAAATATTTTACCTTAAATTAATATTAAAATAATAGAATAGAAAATAAAACAAAAAATATTAAGAAATTAAAAAAAATATACAAAATGAAATATTTTAAAACCGTGCATCACACGGGCTAAACAAAAGTGACGAATGAAATTTAAATTTTTTTCAAGTAGGTAAAAAGGACGAATAGTAATTTATTAGGATTTTAATTATTTAAGAACATTAAATTTTATCATTTTTATTTGTTACAAAACTAAAATTATCTTTCGATATATTATTTAAAAAACTAAAAATTATATTTTGATATTTAAAAAATATAAATTATCATTTGATGTTAATGGTTTTATGTAAATATCTAATGATATGATACTTTCATACAAAATTTTAAAATTTATAATGCAAGAAAAAAATTAAGAGATCACCAAAAAAATATTTATATAAAAAATGTATATAAAAATTCGTGCATCGCACGCCACATAAGCAAAAGTAATATTTCGACCACTGAAAAATTAGATTTGTATATTAATTTAGAATTTTAATTTTCAGTCGCTATTTAAGAAAAAATTAACAAATGAAATTTGAGAATTGAAAACAAAAAATAGTAATTTAAGATTTAAATTATGAAAAAAAAACAATAATTATCTTTTATATTAGGATTTATATTATTTTAACAAATAATTAGAAATTAAAAAATATATTTTGATTTAATGATTTTATCTAACTATCCAATGAATGAGATAATATTTATTTCAATTTATAAATTCAAGTTTTATATACATAAAATTTGAATAATAATAATTTAAAACTTAAAAAAATATTTTACCTTAAATTAATGTTAAAAATAATAGAATAGAAAATAAAAACAAAAAATATTAAGAAATTACAAAAAAAAAAATATACAAAATGAAATAATTTAAAAACTGTGCATCGCACGGGCTTACATCTAGTTAGGAAATAAAATAAGCAAAAGTAATCTTTTGAGTGTATATGTAAGCAATAAATTTCTTTTCTAAGAGCATGATAAAGCTATGTTTGGCTCTTTGGGAATATTGTGACTAGACCTGATTGAGTGATATACGTAGTATAAATAAAGAACGAAAGGTAGGGGCTTTTCCATAAGTTTTCCTTGCCCAATTGACTCTGACATAAACACGTTGAGTTAAAGCTTAGGAATGAATCATATATTCATATAAAAACAGGTTAGTGAAGCAATCAAATGACGACCCTATAAAATATCCTCTAGCATTTACCAAAGCTATACAAGTATGTACATGAAGGAATTTGAGAAATATTAAGGTTAACCCTTCCCTAATACTAAATTGTTGAGTTAAAAAACATATTAATAGTTTGCTCATTTATAGTTATTTTCTTAGAAAATATATCAAAAATGACATTTTATGTTAATCATTTTGTGATAAAGGGCACATTAACCTTTGTCTGAATTCTGCAATTGACCACCAATTTTCAGACAAAATAATCACATGAGTGGCACGCGGCTTTGATTTTTCCCTTTTCATTTCTAACCTTTTAACGATTATTCCACCACCAACCAACCCAAAACCACCACCATCGCACAATCAAGTCAATCACAAGCACACTGACACCTATGCAAACACCTTATCTCTTTGCTCATATGCCGCTCTATTTTATATATGATCTCCTCCGATCCTCCCTAAGCATGCCACACCTCTAGCCAAACGCCACCTCTCATCATTGTAACCCTTGCATTACTGTTAGATACGAGTCTAGGCCACATCCGTCATCATTGTAACCCGAAACATCGACGAACTCCAACATCACGCCACCACCATCTAGCGTTGCCAAAATCACGTCGCCGAAATCCTCTCCCTTACATCACGTCGCCGAAATCCTCTGTTGTCAAAACCCCAACCCATAAATTGCTCTCACTTGAACCCTAACCCGTTTCCTGAATTTCATTGAATCGGGCTCGGCTGAGTTGGGTACGGTGTTTTAAGGGTTAGGGTGGTGCATCGTTTAGGTGGTCGATCAAGGGTGGTTGGCTGGGGGAACCGGTGCCGGTGTCTGGGTAGCGCGGTACGGTGGGGGCAGGTTGAATCAGCGCCGGTGGCTGGGTAGTGCGGTGGCTGGATTAAGATTTTAGGAATTTTCATTTTTTTTTATCCAAAATATAGTTGACACGTATATAATATGGTAGGGGTGTACAAAAACTGGCCCGGACCTGAAAACCGACCTGAACCGGACCTGTTGGGACCGGACCTGATCCGGACCTGTAGATTCAGGTCCGGTCCCGGTCCTTGAAATTCAAGGATTCCGGGTTTCAGGTCCGGTCCGGGTAAAACCCGGAAATTTCAGGTCCGGACCTGAAACCGGTAAAACTACTTTTTTTATTTAATAAGTTTAAATAGGTCCATAAACAGGTTCAAACAGGTCCATAACAGGTCCAATAAGGTCCATAATAGGTCTAAACAAGTCCAAACAGGTCTAAACAGGTTAGCACTTTCATATTATTTAAAAAAAATAAAAAATAAAAACTAATCAGGTCTATTCATGTCCAAACCCGGACCGGACCTGATTTTTCAGGTCTGGACCGAAACCGGACCTGTTGATTCAGGTCCGGTCTCCGGTCCTTAAAAATCAAAAATTCAGGTCCCGGTCCATTCGGGTCCGGGTCAGGTCCGGTCCGGTTTTGGACCGGTGTACAGCCCTACAATATGGGGCCCACTAACGGTTTTTTGGATGGCGGTGAAATCCAATTTTTTTGGTTTTTTTGTAGTGTTATAAAAAAGTTTTAAATTTTGTGGTGTTATAAACAAAATCTGGGTTTTTTTATGGTGATATTTTATAAAATTTCCTATTTTATATATCACAAATAATACTCCAAAGTTACACCTAAAAGTTAACGAGGTAGTACTAATTTTTCTAATTTTTTTATCATATTTATTGACGAATAAATTTAGTAATTAATACAAATTATTATGAACAAGTTGAAAATTATAATAAGTTGACATATAAAAAATATAATTCGAGAAGATTACACATAATTGTTAGTTGGAAAAAGCCCAAAATTTTGAAGATTACATATGACTTTTTGTTGGAAATGACCCAAAAATTTCATTAGGCCCAAATTATTTTTGCCAAACTTAATCATGAAACTCTTATAGTGCAGTTTATCAATTATTGTTAGTTTATAAAATACATAGTGTAATCCTCCGTATTTTTAACTTAATTATAATTTATTTATATATTATTCTTACAAATATTTTTATGTCAGTTTCATTAAATAAATTATTTTTATGAAAAGATTTAAGTAAACTAATATGTTTTTATTAATTTACAAACAATTTTAACATTATAGCCTAAAACCCAAATATTACTCCTAATCTAATTAGGAAACCCAAAGCCCAAATAAAACCCTCAAAAACCCTTACCCTTCTCCTCCTTCTCACGTTAAAAAAAAAAAAAAAAAAAAAAAAAAAAAAAAAAAAAAGGAGAACAGCTTTCATTCTTCTCCTCCTTCTCCTTCATTCACGAGCAGCAAACAAGAGAAAAAAAATAAAAAAAAAATAAAAAAAATAACTCCTTGAAGCTTCTGCCGCCGCACAAGCCACCCGAACCACCGGCCGCGTGCACACCGAACCTCTGGCCACCACCGCCTGCACAGCCACGCCTCCCCTGCAGTTCGCCTCTTCTTCTTCTTCTTCCCTTTTCTTTATTTCTTGTTATTTTGATTAAAGATTCAATTTTTATTTGATTTCAATTATAAAATTATTGTTATTAGGCTTTAATTGTATGTATAAATTACAAAAGATTATAAATTTATGGGTTTTGTATGTCTAAAGTATTAAATAAAATTTCAGATTTGGTATATGTATGAATTTAGGGTTTAAAGTATTGATTTTTCATGTTTTAGGGCTTGATAATGTGTTAATCAAGTCATCTAATCATATTATGTTTAAATTACGTTAAAGTATAATTATCTTAATCATAAATAAATTTTCAGATTTATTAAAGTTTCAATTTTTATGAACAAGTAGTGTTAATTTTATGTTTTTATGCTTCTAAACCTATAAAATAATTATTGTGAGTATTTTGTGATTGAAAAAGCTTTGAACTTTAAATTCTAACTTTAAAAATAATTTTCAGATTTCATACCTTTTATTTTGAAGCCTCTAATTGCATTGAATTGATATATTCTTGGTTTTTTAACACACTAACTTGCTATATAATGACTATTTCAAGTAATTATGCTTACGGGGTTATTTTATATACTTAAAACAAGCTATTCAAAAAAAAATATACTTAAAACAAAATTCCATATTTATTTACCCACTTTAAAGTTGTTGTAATTTGATATAAAATACTATATTTTCATAATTCTAACATATAAACTTAAAGTTGGGATGTTATATTACTAACTTTGATTATTGGGGACAATTTAAAGGCTTTATTTTGATGATTTAAAAGGTTTTAAAGTAGTTTAGTATTGCTGTAATTTTAATTGCTTTGGTATTGATTTATTTCTAATTGTTTGGTTTAGGAGAGGACTTTGTAGAAGGCGACTTCTAGTTTTAAAGTGGCCAACCGGATTGTTTACACAAGGTACGTACAAGTTACGAAACCTTGCTTGTAGGTGCATGTTTAAGGACGGATCGAGAACTTAGTATCATGTATAGGATTGACTGGGTTAAATTGTCTGGTTATACATTGTGAATTTCAAATGATGTGCACTAGTTTATAATGCAAGTATTATTTGTGCTTTAATTATGCAAGGTGCGCTTAAAGGCAAAGGTATGTGATTGGTGTAAAGATCAAATTATTACTCATTCATGATTATGTAAACAAGATGAGTAAAGGAGAAATTCAAGTCTTGTGAGACGAGGTTAAGGTTTTGGGGTGCCTTATGCACTCAAGGTGTTTATACACCGAGGTAGTAAAGGAATAATTAATAAAGGTTGTTTATCACTAATAAATCAAGAATCTAAATTGAGAATTTGCCATGTTTGATTGAATTGTTTTTAGGATGTTTGTATTGAAATGTATATGAGTCATCACCAAGTCTAAACTTGTAAATCACGTAAAATGCAAGATGGATGAGTAATAAAACTCTGGAATGGTGCACATCTGGAGTAATGACAATCAGGGGTTGGGGTACATGGGGTATTAGCTGTGTACTTTTATCGAGGTCGTCTGATCTACGAGTCTCCTATTTCAAATATTATTTTTTCTAAAACTAGGAGTTAGGTGAGATCTCATACTAACTACGGTCACGGAGTCGCGCCCGTGGTCGTTGGATGTTTATTGATGTTTCCGAAAGGAGGCATGGGGTTTTTCTTTATTGATGTTCCAAATGGGACATGGGTTGGACAACCTTGTCTATTGCTAAATCCAATGAACTAAATAAATGAGTCAGTCAATATCAATTAGCGATGTCTTAATAAATTTGATAATCGAGTCATGAATTGAGTCTGTATTTAATGATGCTTGTGCTTGATTATTAGTAGCATGTTAGGTATTTTCTTAATTTATTTCGCAGCTTGTATGTACTCAGCTTTGCTGACTGCGTGCTTTTGTGTGTGTCTTTCTTTGGTCATGGCCTTCGCCTTTCAATGACCCTGTAACGATCCAATTTTTACACATGTAATATTGGGGAGCAGAATAACCACAGGTTCTTACACATGCAACATTCATCAGGGTTGTGGGATCTTGAGTAGAGAGTTGGTAATTGCATTTTATTTCTTTTGCAAGTTTGAATTTATTTTAATTCGATTTTATTTGACACTAATTCTTTTGGGTTTGAATTTATTTAAACACTGAATTTAATCACTTACTACTTTTATTGGGTTTTGAATAAGGGCCTTAATGGTTCCAACTTGTAATACTTATTTTGATTTAATTCCTTTGTTTTGAGGTTTATTTAAAACTGTTTTGGTTTTCCGCTGCTAATTTCTGAGATAGCCTTAACGTTTGAACACGTGGCGGTAGCACGCCAATAATTCTCTTGAAATTGTTCAGGTTATATACAGGTTTCTCACAGGTTTTTAAGAGAGAATTATTGGGGTGTTACACATAGTCACTAAGGGTCTGTTCTCATGGACTGAACTTAGTTGAACTGAATTGAACTAAACTGAACTGAGCTGAATTGAATTGAAATGAATATTTTATAAAAGAAAATTAGGAGCTGAACTGAACTGAAAATAAACGTATGTGAACAAGCCCTAAAACAATAAGTTGTCATTTGAATTATAGCTTTTAGCTACCCTTATACTATATATATACAATTTATCAATTATTGTCAGCTTATAGTATTAAATATAGAATTTTTTTTAGAAAATAACATCACAAAGTAACACAAAATTTGATTATAACCCAAAATATAAAAAAACTTATTACAACACCACCACCATTTAATGGATTCTAGGATAGCACGTGTCACTAAACTATTTTAGTTCAAAAAAAAACAAAAAAAAACCTAACCCAGCCCAACCCCACTACCAGCACCACTAGTCCTCCACCGTCGACAACCTTACCTAAGCTGCCGAAACTCCTGCCCCACCAAAAAAAGCGAAACCCTCCGCAAATCATCACCTACCCACCGCAAATCACCACATCGCTTAACAACAACAACTTCACCGTCGCAATCCCAACCAATTTGAAACCCCAACACCTTTGAACCACCGCAAACACCAACCACAATCACAACCAATTTGAACCCCATCACCTTCGAATCATCACAAATAACAACCATAATTCACTAGCTCGGTGTGAATCGGTATTTGCGGTGGTTCAAAGGGGTGGGAATTGATTTTGTGCAATGGCGGAGGTGATTGCGGGGTTGCTCGGTGCGAATTGTGGTTAGATATGTGACACTAGGCGGAGCTGGGGTGGTTTTCCGGGAAGGGGAAAAGAGTAATAAGGACTGGTTTTGGTGGTAATGGTGGGGGTTGGCGGTGTCGTCGGCTTGGGTTAGGCTGTCGACGTGGCTAGGGAAAGGTGGTGCCTATGGTGGAGTTGGCTAGGTTTGGGTTTGGAGTTTTTTTTTCTAATTTTTCTTTTTTTTAATAAACTTTTTTAAACCAATAGGCATTTACACGTATTAGTTATGGCCCCACTACCGGATTTTATCCAAAAATTCGTTCTGTTACGAGGTGGTAAAATCAAAATTTTGAGTTTTTTTTTTTAATTTTTTATGCTATTTTCTTTTTTAAAAAATCCTAAAATATATAGTCACTAAAATCAATCGCAATGGTGTTCATTTGAATTATATCTTTAGCTACCCTTATACTATATAATGCAGTTTATCAATTACTGTCAACTTGCAAAATATATGGTCACTAAAATCAGTAATGTTGCCATTTGAACTATATCTTTTAGATACCCTTATAATATAATGCAGTTTATCAATTATTTTCAACTTATAAAATATATGGTCACTTAAATCAGTAATGTTGTCATTTGAATTATATATAGCTTTTGTTCAACGGAAATTTCACCAAATGCCCTTGAACTCTTCAAAAATTCACCAAATACCCTCAAGTTTTCCAAAATTCACCAAATACCAGTGACGTCTTGTACTATTCACACCATGACCTGTAATTGGCTCTGACGTTAGTCCACCATTAGTGCAAAATTACCATTTAGCCCCTATTGTCTTAAATGGCGCCATGACTACCATTGACTCTTTCAGTTGATCAAAAAATACCCAAATTTTTTTACCTTTCGAATTTCACTTCCTCTCTTTGCTCTGTTCTTCAAGGTTTCAACTAAAAGGAACCCAAAAAACTTCACAAAAAATCCAATCTTTTCCAAATCAGAAGCTTGTGCAAGGTAGAACGAAGTTCCATAAGAATCAGTGATCCAGAATTGTGGGTAGAAACAACCAGTTCGACGTCATTCGGTAGGCTTGGCTGGGTTTGGAGCAAAATTGTACGGAACGTTTCATTTGGTCTATCTCAACTCGCGCAAGGTACCACTCTCTCTTTCGCTCTTGAAATCGCTTTCGTTTTTTAGGGTTTATCTCGAAAATCGATTTAGGGTTTAGGGTTTGATGAATGTGGTTGCTTGGTAACTGTAAGTTGTTTGTTGGTGATTTATGTATGTTATTGCTTGATGCATGTGGTTGATTTGTATAGATAGTTGTGTTTCTGTTTGGTTGTATATGGTTCTGACACTGATTGAATAGGTAGTTGTATAAGGTTTATGTACTCAGTGAATTATTTGTGTGCATATATAGGATGACTCATGTATGGCTGGAGGTTATATATAATGATTCTGCATTTGATGTGCTGATTGAAGACACTGATAAGAGTAATTTAATGGAGTTGTTTGAGTACATGTTTGAGGATTCAGTAAAACAAAGTGTATACCTCCCTAAATATTTCACTTTGTTTATTGATAAACCTAGAACAAATAGAAAGTTGGAGTTATGTGATGATACAGATTTCTTGAAAATGTGGGAGTGGAATGAGGGTAAGGAAACCATAAAAGTGTGGATACAGGCAACTGATGTTCCAGGAATGGTGTTTAAGTCTGCTGAAGCTACTTGGCAAAAAAAGATTAAAGATGAAGCAGAGAAGCAAAGGTGTAGGTTGGAAAAGATACAGGCAGAAAGGGAACTGATGGAGCAACAACAATATATTGTTGTTGTTGAGGTGCCTGTTGTTAATGCAGATAATTCAGGAGTTGAGTATATGAGGGTTTTTGACACTGATGTTGTTGATGAGATGTTCCCAGGTGCATCTCAACCACAACCCTCCCAACATTCAACTCCTCCCAAGCAATCCCAACCAACATCACCACCAAACAACCAGACAAAGAAAACACCTAGAAAGACAATGGCCTCTAGGAGGAAAAAGGGGCCAAAAACTAAATCCCCACCCCAACCAAAATCTGCACCCCAAACAGAGTGTCCACCCCAACCAGAATCTGCACCCCAACCAGAACCTCCACCCCATCCCCATCCTGATTCCCCAATCCAACCAAATTCTCCACCCCTGCCTGATTCTCCAATCCAACCACAACCAAATGCACCATCCCAACAATCCCAGCCACAATCAACACAAGATAAACCCAAAAAGGGAGGGAGAACTAGACCTACAGGCTTTAGAGTCTCTAAAAAGACTGCTGTAAAACAGGGGATAAGGGTGGAAAAGGGACTGACAAGTAGTAGAAGAAAGATAGCAAGAATTGGAGCCAGGTCAGAGGACATGGTAAACTCTGACAGTGAGGATGATGATTAAAGTATGTTTGGTAGTGATATGGATGATGAAGAAGATATTGCTGATTTCATAGTGGATGAGGAAGAAATTGAGTGTTTGTATGATGATATCCCTAAGAAAAAGTTTGAAGACTACCTTGATGGTTCTTCAAATATGGACAAAACATATCTAAATGGAAAAATTTGGACAAAACAAGAGTTTGGTTATATAACTTTAGAACCTTGGTTAATATTCCCAGATAGGAAAACATTCACTGATGTCTTCAAGGACTACTGCATACAAGAGGGGTTTGGAGTGTTTATTGAGAAATCTGACAAGGGGAGGTATGTAGCCAAATGTGCTATTGATGGTTGTGAGTGGAGGATTCTTGCTGGAGAGATGACTGATAAGGTCAGTTGGGCAGTTAAGAAGATAAGTGGGGAGCACAAGAGTTGTGGCAGGCTGGAAGAGAATCCAGTAGTGACTTCAAAGTGGCTTTGAAAGCATCTTAAAGGGGAAATTGAAGCAAACCCAGACATACTTGTTCATGCACTTCAGAAGATATGTATGGAAAGATACAAAATTCTTGTCAAGACAAGATTATTCTACAAGGTCAAGGCAATGGCTAAAGAGAAGATTCATGGAAACTTTAGAGAGTCTTACTCACTTCTGCCTAGGTATGCAGAGATGATTAAGGCAACTAATCCTGGTAGTTGGGCTTTGATCACTTGGACAGAACAAACAACAACTGAAGTTCCAAAGTTCAAAGCATATTTTTTCTCATTTGCAGCTCAACTAAGGGGATTTTTAAGAGGTTGCAGGCCCATAATTGGTATTGATGGTGCCCACCTTAGTGGATATTTTAAGGGAATTTAACTGTTGTAGGTATTGATAGTAATAATGAGATATTTGTTATTGCTTATAGGATAGTTGACACTGAAAGCTGTGACAGTTGGTCTTACTTCCTTAGAAATCTCAAGAGTATGTTTCAAAATGAAGGCTGCAACAGAGATGATTGGACTTTCATCAGTGACAGAATGAAGGTAATGCCATTGATTTTTGTGTAATTATACTTCCTTGACTGAATAGTAATACTTACTATTGTTTTATGTGATTTTGTTTTGCAGGGAGTAGACTCAGCAGTGCATGAAACTTTTCCTAGAGCCACTAGAATAGTATGTTGTCAACATCTTTACATGAACCGCAAAGCTGCTGGTTTTAGTGGAACAACATTTCATAAGCTGTTTTGGATAGCAGCTGATGCATATAATGAGTATGTCTACAACAAGGCCATGCAGAAGATCCTAAAGTACAATCCAAAGGCTGTAGAGTACTTAGACACTGTAACTGAACAATGGTCAAGGCATACATTTGACCCATCAGTCAGGTGTGATCATAATACCACAAATTTTGTGGAGTCCTTCGATTCATGCACCAAAAATTACAGAGATCTCCCTGTCCTAACTCTCCTTGAAGGTAACTTGCTGACTTTTTTTTTCCGTCCTAGTTCTAGCAATAGTTTTTGTTGTTATTCACACTCTAAACCTTTCCAAAATGTGGTTTGTTTTGTTTATCTCGCTATTAGGCAGTGGTGCATGAAAAGAATTGGAGTGAGGTATGAAAAAGCTGCTGCTATGGGGCCAGATGACTTGACTGAGTATGCATCTAGGATTTTGCAAAGTAGGAGTGATGAGTCTAGGTTATGTTATGCTACAGCTTGTGGTGGTGGGGAATTTGAGGTGAGAGATAGGCATGTTCTGTATCCAATTAAGCTGCAAACTGGTACTTGTGGTTGTGGGGTATGGCAGCACTCTGGTATCCCTTGCAAGCATGTGTTAAGGGTGATTTATCATGAAAGACTGCAACCTACAGATTATGCTTCTGCTTGGTTCAAGGGGGCTGCATATAAACAAGTGTATGGAGAGAATATCCATCCCATGCCTGATTCAACTCAATGGCAATCATTCAATCTTCCTGAGATATAACCTCCATTCATAAAGAGGAGTGCTGGCAGACCACGCAAACAGAGAAGAAGAGGGCCAAATGAAGCAAGGAAGGGAAAGAGAACAAGCACAGTGAAGTGTAGCTTGTGCAAAGAAATGGGTCATAACAAGCTAACTTGTGCTGCAAGGAAAAGGAAGCCAACTGATGAAGCAACCACATCCAAGTCCAAGTCAACAACAAGAAAGAGATCAAGGAATGAAGCATAAACTCCACCCCAAACCTGAATAGCTGCAACTGTATTTTTTGGAAACAACTTTTTGAACAAAACATGACTTATTGGTGTACTTATTTTAGGCAGCAGCATTTTGAACATTACTTGTACTTATTTTTGGGTGTCAATGATGAAATTGCTAAGACAATTTAAATTAACAACTGCGTTCTTACTATTTATTCATTTTTTTAAGCTGTTACAACCTAATCACTTCAACAACACAACTACAATGATTACAACCAAAACTATCCCTAATTTTATAAGCACATTAACAACCTTTTGCTGCCTTTTGATCTTCTTCTTTAATTGCTTCAACTCTGCATGCATACTCATCTGTCTTTCTCCATCCCTTGTGTCCATGCTTCCCCTTCCCCTACTCTCACATTCTTGCTGTTGATTGCTCGAACTTTCGTCAACAACAACTTTGCACCATTTGAAATTGTTACACGCATCACACTTGTAATAAAGCCTTTGTGGATTTAAAGATGAATCGGACCTTCGAATAACAAATTTCCTCCCACAAACACAATATTTGTTTGCCACTCTTATGTAAGAAACCTCATGCATAGAGGAGGAAGATCTAGAAATATAACTCATAGTGTGTTAATTTGTGGTTACTTTGATGAAAAAAGGATTATTAAGCCTTCTACATTCAAGAGTATTTATAAGAGAGCAAAATAACGGCTAGTTCCCCAATTTGAAAAGTAGTCGTTGTACCTTAAACAAAATAGAGGTATTTTGTGTAATTTTTTTCCATAATTTAGGCATTCTGTGTAATAAGTGTATAAATTTAAGGCATTTGGTGAATTAAGTTTTGCACTAACAGTGGACTAACGTCAGAGCCAATTACAGGTCATGGTGTGAATAGTACAAGACGTCACTGGTATTTGGTGAATTTTGGAAAACTTGAGGGTATTTGGTGAATTTTTGAAGAGTTCAAGGGCATTTGGTGAAAAAACCGTTTGTTCAATCATTGAAATTGAAAGGTACTAGCTAATATTTACGGTTATTTCACAACATGTCCAAGTTTTCAATTGTTCACCATGTATCCTTTAGTTTTCACACATATGCACCAGATATCCTTAATGACTATTAATTGAACATTAACTTTGTTAGTAATTCATTATACCCCAAGACCAGTCTATGTCCAGATGTCGGATTCATGTATAACTCAAATGATTAATGAAAACATAAAATATTCTCTAAAGATTGTACCTTGAAGCGCGTTTGTTAGTTCGAACGGAACCAAAAACTGCAAGTGCAATACCAAAGTCCACCTACATAAATCAAACCCATCTTGAATATATTAGCTTAGTATAGCTGACACTCTAAGATCCCTTAAGGTTTGTACTTAGATTTAGGTTCTCACTCTTTAGGATGTATAATTAATGGCATGATCATCTAATGATCTTGGGGTATTTATATATAAATAACCTCCTTAAAGTAATCCTTGTAGGAATAGGATATATAGTTATTTCCTCAATAACCTATTCCTCAAAGCTCTGTAATTAACCGAAACATATATTGTTACAATACACTTGGTCACTAGCTACAATATTGCCCAATTTTTAAATTATTGTCCACTTATAAAGTGTATGTTGCCATTTAAAACAAACAATGTTGCCATTTGAACTACTTATTGCGATTCTGTTTAGTTTACATGTTCAATTAGGAAACACGTATTAAGGAGAGGAGAGAGAATGCTAAAGCAAGTGGAGACACTAGTAAACACAAGGTATAAAATTGAACTTACCCAAAAATGAAATGTGTCAACTAAAAGTAAACTTTTTACAGAATAATACGTGTCAACTAAAATATGGAGGTAAGTATAAGTTTCGATCATTCAGTCAACAACGAAAGGTAAACCAAAGTTGTTTATGCTTCAAAATGTATTTATAAAGAAGATGATTTAATTTATGAGCATCTTAGGGCCTGTTCACTTCAGCTTAATTTAAGTTTAGTTCAGCTCCAATCAATTCACTTCAATTTAGCTTTTAATTTCCTTCGCTTACTTTCAGTTTAGCTCCCATCAGTTCAGTTCAATTTAGCTTCTAATTTCCTTTTCTCATAAAATATTCATTTCAGCTCTATTTAATCCAGTTCAGCTCCAACCAGTTCAGTTCAGTTCAGTTCAGTAAATGTGAATAGACCCTTAAAAAGGTATAGTTAAACAATTTTAGAATAATGAGTAGCTTCACATAACGATGAATAATATAATTATACTTCTAATGAATATGATTTATAACAACAAATGGAACGCTCTAACCTACACGAATTAAATGTGACAAAATTTATCAAATATCTTATTTATGTTGTCAATTACACCACAAAATAGTGTTATGTGACAAAATTTATCAAATTTCTTAATTATATTGTCAATTACACCCCAAAATAGTGTTATTTGAAATACATCTTACATTAATTTATAGGTGGTGTTAAATACCGCCCTCCAAATTTATCAAAATCGCTATCATTTGAAGTAAAATGCCAATCCTGTCTTTACTAAATCCTAACCCACTTTCCTCTTTTTTTTTTCCTCTCTCCACAAACACCCCACCACACATCTTTTTCCACACAACCACCACAACAACCTTTTTTTTGGTTTGTCAGGAAGCTCTTGGTGGCGCAAACTCAGGCAGCACAGGCGGCAGCGCGACAACCTCAGGTAGCGACGGCGGCGGCGGCGGCGGCGTGTCCTCAGGCAAAAGCGGCGACAAAATGGGTGGAAAAAGGTATGTTTTGCGATTTTTCATTCTTTTTAAATTTTCGGTGGCTGGTAACCGGAAGTGAAAGCCGGTTTCCAGCTGACGGTAACCGGCGACCAAATCCGGTTGACCGCAGCCAGTAACCGGTTTTCACCTTCGATTACCACCCACCATTTTTTTTATAATTTTTTATTTTAATGTATGGTAACCGGAGGCCAAAATCGGTTACCGTCCACGGTAACCGGAGGCCAAAACCAGTTACCGTATAATTAGTTTTTTTACTCTGGTTAACCGTCATCGTTCAATATTACGAATTTCAACCACCGGAAGTTGGTGTCCCCAATTCATTTTCCGTCGAGCCACCTGTATCACCATCCATTTCTCCTCGACTTTGGCCTTCGTCGTGTCTATCCGGTGTCGAAGGTAGTGGTTGTAATGGTTGTGGATATTGACTATTGTTAGAGAAAGAAAATAGGAAAAAATGTTAGTAAGGGTAAAATTCTCCGTTTGCTTGAAATGATGTCAGTGGCGATAATTATGGACGGCGGTATTTAGCATTTCACTAGTTTATTGAATCTCTACCCTTGTAATATTGCCAATGTTTATCCTACCCTAATAATCCCCTCACCCTTCCATCCCTCTCTCTCTCACTCTGTTCTTCCTGCTGCTCTTCCTCAACTCTCATCAATGGGGAAAGTAAAAGGAAAGCATAGATTAGACAAATTCTACCATTTAGCCAAAGAACAAGGCTACAGATCACGAGCAGCCTTCAAGCTAATCCAACTCGACGCTAAATACTCTCTTCTCCACGCTTCTCGCTCAGTTCTCGACCTTTGCGCTGCACCAGGTGGTTGGATGCAAGTCGCCGTCAATCGGGTCCCTGTTGGTTCCCTTGTTGTCGGCATTGACCTCTTTCCGATTCGTCCCATTCGCGGTTGTATCTCCGTTGAAGAAGACATTACCAAACCCAAGTGTCGTTCCACAATCAAGAAATTGCTTGCTGAAAATGGGTTTAAGGCTTTTGATCTTGTGCTTCATGATGGTTCCCCTAATGTTGGTGGTGCTTGGGCTCAGGAAGCTACTAGTCAGAATGCTTTGGTTATCGATTCGATTAAGCTTGCTACTGACTTCTTGGCTCCAAAGGGTACTTTTGTTACTAAGGTTTGCTTCTTTTGTAATATTTGATTCGGTTGTTGTACTACCTCCGCAACAAAGGGTATTATTTGTGAGACATACAATATTTTTTTATTGCACGTAATAGGAAATGGAGATAGTAGTTTAAAAAAACTGGAATGTTCTTTAAAATTGTTGGGTTAATTTCTTGTTCTCTCAGTCTAATCACTTAGCCAGTTGCAAGTATTATTAAAATGGAGGAAGTATTTGCTTAGAAAGCATAATTTTTGTAGCTTAATTTGCTCGTTTACATTTTCTAATCACGTCCAAATAACGTGCCTAAAAGATGTGTTGCAAGTATAAAAAAAAAAAAGGAAAAACGGAGGAAGTATTTGTTTATGAAAGAAAACATAATTGTTGTCTTGTGAGTTTTGATTGAATTCTCTGAGGAACCCATTGTAAGTAAGTGCCTAGTTGAATAACAAATTTTAAAACTTAAAAAGGAATGAACTTTCTGAATAGCTCAATATATTGTGTTTCAATGTTGTTTGTGGAAGTCCTCCAATATCTGCTTCAGTTGGTTATTTGTTTGAAGTCTTAGTTAGTAGTCAATTGTAAAATTGGGGGGAATCTATATGTTCCTTAATGTCTTATACGCTCCTGAAATCGCAATCGCCAATCTAGAGACATAATGTTTGCTGATTTCCAAGAACCAAGGATCTTAACAATCTGTGTGAAAAGCTTTTATGTCTTTGCATTTTATAAACATTGATAGTTGATCTTAATGTGTAATGGACTGTAGTCATAGATTCAAAGTTTCATCGGTTTGTTCTTCAGTTATAATTACTTCAAGAGTTGAGCTGGTTTTTTGGACAAATTATCTCATTAATCATATATCTTTGTTGTCTCAGGTTTTCAGATCACAGGATTACAATGCCGTGCACTACTGTCTTAGGCAGGTACTGGCGTACTGCACCTTCTTTTTAATGTGCTGTGAAACATGTTTCTTAGGGCAGAGCCAGAGTTTCTGATTCTAAATTTCATAATTACCTATATTTTGTAGCCAAATCAAAATGCTATGCAGTTCTTAGAACTTTTTGTGCTTTAATTTGGGATACTAAAGCTAGTTTGTCATCTCCTATCTGATTATTTACATCGTGATTTGCCTTCTTTTCATTAATCCAACATTCCAACCTCTCTTAAGGAATTATTGGTTTGCAGTTATTTGAAAAGGTGGAGGTAACTAAACCTGTTGCCAGTCGTTCAACATCTGCAGAAATTTATGTTATTGGTCTCAAGTACAAGGCTCCAGCAAAAATTGACCCTCGCCTTCTAGATATCAAGCATTTATTTCAGGGAGCTATTGAACCATCAAAGGTATTTTGAACTATTCATTGGATAGGACATATCCTTTAGTTATTCCTTGCATGTTATTGAAAGTGGCCATTTTTTTTAATTGTCCTAATCTTTATTATTTTGACCTGAATTCAACGCAGGCGTATGATATATTCGAAACAAAGCAAAAGAGAAACCGTGAGGGGTGAGTTTGACAGTTTGACGCTGCTAAAGCTTTACTTCTTTGTTCTTTAATAAAGACCTATATATTTCCTGATATCTGATTACCTCTTGCCTGCATGTCTAAGGGATCTATATTGTGCAAGCCAATATGTTGTTCCATGTTCAATTTTTACCTAGTAAGAATATCTGTATGTTTTGTGCATCTCTGCTGCCCAGAAATCTTCCTAACAATGATGTTTGTATTTCCCTGCTGCAAAAAACTAGGACTTGTTTATAGAAGGAAATAGATTAATGCTTAGCAATAAATGCCGCTGTGTTCATGTTTGTTTGGTTGTTTTTGATTGTTGATAAATGGTACTCTTAGGTATGATGATGATGTATCCCTAGTGAGAAAGGTCTGCCCTGCTGTTGAATTTGTGTGGTCATCAGATGATCCTGTTGAAACTCTTGGCAAAGTAACATCCATCAGCTTTGGTGATGATTCTAGTTTGCCTTTGAAGGAGCATCCTTCGACGACTGAGGAGGTGATTCTCTGTAGTATCTATTTTTTCACATTTGTCCTGCTATAGTTATCTTACCTCTGTTAGTTCTGAAACTTTGACAGGTTATAACCCTATGTGAAGACCTGCGTGTTTTGGGGAAGCAAGATTTCAAGCAGCTTTTAAAGTAAGTATATTTATTATTTATCCCCCTTTTTTTTTTAATTCTGTTTTGTCTCATTTCAGAGATGTTTTTTTTTTTTTTTTTTTTGTGGGCCATGAAAAAAAATTGAGTTCCATGTTTTATAAATATAACTAGAACATGCATATAAATCTCCTGGTTTATCCTGACATTGATGTTCAGAGAATGAACACGGCTTATATTACATAATAATGGTTCTAAATATCTCCTTTAACAGAATATTGTTTTGAGCTATGTTACTTGGACTCTTCATTTCACCTCACGTACCCGTGTCTGACCCTCGACACTTGGACATGGGTATGACACCCAGACACTTCTCTTTTAGTTTAAAATCATGGAATTTTTTCACAATATAGACAAGTCGGACACTTGGACACATATCCGTGTCAAACATGAGTACCCAAGTCCAAGTAACATAAGTTTTGAGGAACACATATATGGCCTACCCAATTTCAAGCTTTCAGATGATTTGTAACCTTTGTTGGTTTTCACAAATATGGCTGCATGTTCTGTTTTCATCTTGGATTATAATGATCATTTGCATTAATTTTTCTTTTTCTTCTCTCATTAATTGTGTTCTAATTTTACTACAGATGGAGGATAAATATTCGGAAGGCTCTTTCTCCAATTGGGAAAACCACTTCTACTGCTGTAAACATTGATCTGGAGAATAAGAATGTGGATAAAGAGGAGGATGAGAATGAGGATGAGGATGGGGACGAGGATGAGAAAGTTCTCAATGAAATGGAGCAGTTGACGCATGATGTAGAGAGAAAAAAGAAACGTGAAAAGAAAATTCTTGCGAAGAGGCGGGCTAAGGTATAATTCTCTTTTTTTTTTTCTTTTTTTTTTTTTTGTAAAATCAAAGATAAGTAAATTTCATATCCTATAATTAGTAGCATATGTAGCTAATCCAGACCTGTGGGTATCAGAAGATAATGACATGTTTGTGGCTGTGCATTAAATAGATATTAAAGATCCTCAAGGGAAAGATTTTTTATATTGTCATGTGCAATGGGCTTGTAGGTTATCCAATAAACATGGCTTTGCTGCATCTTTAATAGTTAACACTGTTACTTACACCCGAAGCTGAAGTCAAATTTTATGCTTGCTCCATTCTCTTTTAGTTGTAACTTTTCTATTTTGATACAGTTCTTTTTAGTTGAAACCTTTCTATTTTTAACATCTTTACCCACTTTACTTTACCAAACTACCATTACACATACAATTTTTTCTTTTTCAAAAAAATAGCCCACTCACTTAAAATATCCAAACCCATTACCTAACACACTAATTAACACTAACCTTTCCCATCACTTTCCTAATGAAACATATAAGAATGCATCAATTTTCCCCAAAAGTTATTTTAAGGTGAGTACTGGTTGACAGAGGTAATGTTCTATATTTTAGATTATATGAGACGTCACATGCTGTAAAACAATGTAATATAAATTGTTGTTGGTTTAGAAAACTAGGCAAATACTGAGCCCCAATCATTGTATAAAAAGTGCACCTGAGTTGTACTGTGGGCCTTGGTGCTTATTTGCGGGTTTGGCCAAAAGATTTCAAAGAGGCGTAGAAATGTGCTCTGAAATGTACCAAGGGGCACATTTACATTTTTTTTGCACCAAAGTTATTTACTTGTATAATATGCACCTCACTTCAATTTTGGGCACACCTTATGCTTTAGATTTGCACCTAGGCTCTTCGACCATTTTTGCCTTATTGTGCTTTGAGGTTTTTGTTTTATTTTTTATTTTTTACTGTTCGGTAATTTGAGCCTTGAGCTTGTAGTACCTGTGCTTATAAATTTACTTTATAATCCATTAAAAAAGAATATTATCCTCACAATTTTATTAGTAGCTCTTTATTGATTAAGAATGTGGTGTTGTAAACGATGTTTTGTCCACTGTTGTGACTGTTGTTGGACCTTTTAGCTTTGTGAGGTTTTATTACTGGGATTAGCCATGAAGCTTTGAGTCAGGTCTCACAATGAAACAGGGGATGGAGTTACCTATTGTTGTCTATTTGTTTTAAGATAATGTAGCCTTTGCATTTTTACGGGGAAGAGGTTTTACTTGGCGGATTGTTTCTATGTAATGCCCATATGAAAGATCTTATATTTTCTAAAGATCCCTTGTATTAAAGATCTTGGTTCTTATAAAAGGTAAGGGTCACTAATGATGTTATGTTGATGTGGTCCGTTCTGGCTCTTCATGCTGGATTTATCCATTGTTTTAAATATCTGTGCATCATAATTAAATGTGCCTCATTGTATTCTCTCAAACAAATTTGATTCGTTTTTTTTTTTTTTTTTTTTTTTTTTTTTTTTGGGCCAGGGGGAGGGGGTTATATTGACTTTCTTACATTTACAAATATATCACTCAACTATCTCCTATATGACATACTTATTCAATTAAAAAAAAAAAAATCTCAGTATCTCCAATCACATTTAGCTTCTAATAAATGTACACTTTGATGATCAGTCTCTACATATCCTGAAATTATGTTTGTGTATTTTATGATGCTTTGTGAATTTTCTACTATAGCATTCATATTGCTGGTGATTTTTGAGGTAATGTATTATACAATAAGATTTTCTCTGATGATGTAGTTTGTTGGATCAGGATAAAGCACGAAAAGCAACAGGAATGCAAATAGATGCTCTACAAGATGGTTATGTTGACAATGAATTGTTTTCTCTTGCTTCTATCAAGGTTAGTCATTATAAGCTGCTATTTTACTTGAAAAATGTAGTTTGGATACTTGTTTCTTATTCTTTTCAATTTCTTTGGGAGCTGGCTTTGCCGCGGGGGGGGGGGGGGGTGGGGGGGTATTGAAGAATCTATTTCTTTTTCGGTTGAAATTGTTAGTACAGTACAATTATTGTAACTGGATGGATAAATATAGAGCTTTGGACTTGTTTTTTCAACTCTTTTTGATGGCTGTTGCTCCAATCTCTTTGACGCTTTATTGAAGAGGGGAGGTTTATTGAAGAGACTTGTTGAAGAATCAATTTTTTTAGTTGAAATTTTTAATGCTGACATTGGACTTGTTTTTTCAACTCTTTTTGCTGGTTGTTGCTCTAGTCTCATTGATGCTTTCAATGTTCTCTTTATTACCTGTTTTCCTGTAAAGTTGGAGCAGTTTTTAGTCGAATTGATTGAAGTTGCTAACATTGTAGTCATGGGAAACTAATACTATAAATCTGAGAAAGCTGTACTGCACCTTGAGCTGTATGCTATTGTATTACCTATATTTTAATTTGCGTTTGCTTTCATTCAGGGCAAGGAAGACTTAGCAATTATTGATACTACAGTAGATGTTGAAGGTGATGAATTGGCTGGTAGTGATGATGATGCAGACAATGAAGCTGATCAGGATAGTGAATCTAGTGATTTGGATTCTGATGAGGAGCATTCAAGGTTGGGTTTTTTTTTTTTCAGTTTGTTTCTGAATGGCTTTTGGTGCCCCCATGTAATGATTTTGTTATTCCCTCTGTTGTTTAAGTATTACACTTTGATCGACACATTATTTTAGGCAATTTAATTGTCTTTAATATAATAATACGAATTGGGTATTATAAAACATAAAATAATTAATGTGGGAGGAGAAAAATAACTTAAAAAGTAGTTGTGGGTTTGTGTGGGGACTATGAGCGGAGAGAGATATATTATTAAAATGTAGTTTGCTGTAACAGGAAATATAACGTAACACTCACAAAAAAAAAGGCCGCAAAAGGAAATTTTAACACTTTAATAAAAAGGAAAATTTGTAAGAATGGTCCTTTTATAAAAAAAAGGTGATACAAAAGATCTTTTATCGCACTTAGGTTGTGGCGACTGGCGAGGGTCCTTTTACCAGATTTTGGCCATTAATTTTTTTTCCGACTAAAAAAAGTCATATGCACCACTTAAGATCCTTTTTCCCCCACTTTACCCCCTGGTTCGATTTGTCTTCAATTTTAATGCGAGGGACTCTAGAATTGGAGTTTGATAAAAAAAAAAAAAAAAATCACAAATTGGATTCGCATTAAGGTTGATGATGAAGAAATTAGGGTTTAATAAAGGAAAAAGGGGTGAAAAGGGAATTTAAGTGATCATGTGCAAGGCCCATAATGGAGGGAGTATGTAATCTTGTACTACCTTACTAAGTTGTGCTCCTATGATTGTCCCAGGTATGATGAACAACTAGATAAGGTTCTTGATGAAGCCTATGAACGTTTCTTGGCCAAAAATGATGGAAGCACAAAGCAGAGGAAGCGTGCAAAGGAAGCATACTCTGATGTGCTCACTGTGGTAAGCTGGAACTGACGGGCTTTATGCTTGTTTTTATCGTCAATGTAGTTTGTTATAGCTTCCTTGAAATGCTGTGACTGTTGAAGCTATCTTCTGATGTTCCTTTTCTGCACATCTTTGGTTCATTTAATACTGGATTGACCTAAGATTTCTGTACAATTTTTTTGCAGGATAGTGATGATGATAATAATGACATAGATCTTCCAGATGACGATTCTGACAATGATCAGGTTGATAAGGAAGCGAATCCTCTTGTGGTTCCTATTGATGAAGATAGAGAACTAACCCAAGAGGAAATCAGAAACAGGTGGTATAGTCAAGACATTTTCACTGAAGCTGTAGAGGGGGGAGATCTAGGCAAGGATAGTAGTGATGAGGATGACTTGCAGATAGCTGTACAAAAGAAGAAAATTGCCCTCAGATTCAAAGCTAAAGATGGGTCAAAGCCTCATTCTTTGGGCTCAGAAGCACCAAAAAATAGGGCTGCAAAGTTACAAGATGATTTAGAGGTTGTTCCGGCTCCTGTTACTGATTCAAGCAGTAGCTCAGATGATGAATCTGAGGACTATGATACTGACACAAAGTGTGAGGTGTTGGCTGCTGCAAAGAAGATGCTCAGGAAGAGAAAAAGAGACGAGATTTTGGATGATGGTTACAACAAACGTACATTTGATGATCAGGGCTTGCCTAGCTGGTTTGCTGAAGATGAAAAGAGGCATAACCAACCATTGAAACCTGTCACCAAGGAGGAGATAGATGCTGAAAAGGCCCGATTCAAAGAGATCAATGCACGTCCTGCTAAGAAGGTTGCAGAAGCCAAAGCTAGAAAAAAGAGGGCTGCAATGAGGACTATGGAGAAGGTACGAAAGAAGGCTAACACTATCGCCGACCAGAATGATCTCCCTGATCGCTCGAAGTCACGGATGATTAATCAACTCTACAAGAAAGCAGCGACACCCAGAAAGCCTAAGAAGGAATTAGTTGTTGCTAAAAAGGGGGTCCAGGTTAGGGCAGGGAAAGGAAAACTTCTTGTGGATAGGAGGATGAAGAGTGATGCAAGACAGCAGGGAATGAACAAACAAAATAAGAAAGGTTCAGGCAAGGGCAAGGGAGCAGGCAAGGGCAAGGCAGCAGGCAAGGGCAAGGCAGCAGGCAAGGGATCAGTGAAAGGTTCGGGCAAGGGCAAGGGCTCTATGAAAGGTTCAAGTAGGAGTGGCGGTAAGGGTAAAATGTGAGCTATATGGGGATTGTGGAAAATTCTTTCCAAGGTTTTGACAATTTTGAATTTTTGACTTAGTTTTGAACTCCTGGTAAGTACATTTTTGTAAAGAAAAGAACATTAATCTTTTTGTATTGAGTGGACTAGTGATATACGAAATATTTAGTGCTTCTATGAGTCTTGTTCCAGCTTGTCACATGAATATCATGGCGCTTAAGCAAAAATGTTTAGGTTTTCTGCATAATTTTTAGGTTTAAATAAATTGCAACTTTCGTCTTGTGACTCTTGTCTTTTTATACTTCACACGTTTTATCTTATTGTTGCTCACAGCTCACACGAGGATGGTATGCTTGGATTGAGAGAAATGTATTACTAGGGGTCTAGGGTAATAAAAGTCAAAAAAAAAAAAAAAAAAAAAAAAAAACTATATATTGGGGAGGACTGGAGGAGGAGATGGCGATGGTGTGATTGTAAGGATTTTTATATAGTGGTGGTGTGGTAATAGGTGAAGAAAGGGAAACTATGTGTTCCAAACGACATATGAGCTAGATGTCTAACAAGTACAGTTGGCATGCAAACAATTTTTTATTTTTTTTTATTTAATTTTTTACAATACCATTGGGTCTCTTTATAATACTATTGATACTTTATATTATGTTGTTGATGATACTATGTCTATTATTACCATTAAGGAAATACCTGGAGGTCAATTATTTCTGCTAAGGAGGCTATTTGTTTGGGTGCCCGCAAGTTTGTGGGTAAGGGAAACACCATTGATGTTTGGCAGGATCCTTCTTCTTCGATTCCAGTTAATGCTGAAGTCTGGGACTTCCTGTGGAAGGCGAAAGTCCCAGCTAAAATTAAGCATTTTGGGTGACGTGCTCTTCACAACAGGGTGCCTGTTCGTAGTAACTTACTGAAGAGAAATATCTGCAGTGATGATGTTTGCCCTGTTTGTGGTGAAGCCCCTGAGACAATTATGCACTCGCTGCTGGTATGTCCGTCTGATGATTGCTCTTCGTTGCATTTTAGAGATTTCTGCACATCTCTTTTTGCTGTGAACAAGAGTAGAGACTGGTGGGATAATTTTTTGGTGTCTTTTGTTGGGTGTGTGGCTGAAAAGGAATGCGTGGTGTTTTGAGAAGAAAAATATTGACATTGTGGATGTGATAAACAAGGCTATGAACATGGTTGGTGAGTTTGCAAAAGCCCAGCAGGTTCAATCATCCCCCCAGCTGAGTCCTGCTTGTTTTGCAAATGGTTCTACTGGACTTGTGGTGTTATGCGTGATTCGGTTGGAGATGTCATGGCTGCCACGTGCTGGAACATTCAGGGATTCTACAACACTGATATTGGAGAAGTTATGGCAGCAAGACATGGCCTTACTATCACCCTCGAACCTGGTCTTCACAAGCTTACGCTTGAAACAGACTCACTGAAGCTCTTTAACCACCTGCTGGGAAGCAAATCTGACAATTCGGCTTTTGGTTTGAATGTTAAAGATATCTTGTTTCTTACCAATCCTTGCTCTTTTATTTGATTCTTTCATGTGGGAAGATTAGGAAATGGTGTAACTCATTGTTAAGGGTGAAATCAGATGAAGATTTCAACCCAGAAAATATAGAGTTTTCTCGGGTTAAATCAATGGAAAATTTAGAGAAGAAAGGGAATAACAGAATAGAGAGAGAAAGAAGAGAGATAGGGAGGAGATTCAGTGTATTAATTCATAATGAAACTTAATACAAAGCATGACCCTATATAGCCAGCTAATTAATCTTAACAGCAAAAACAAAAGGAATCTTATTTTCTAACAACCTGGAAAAGGACAAAAATGATTAACAAACTCAGCTAACCAATTTTCCCGCCAAAACTGACAAAAATACCCTTTTTGCTGTAACATACCCTCCCCCTTTAAGAAGACTTGTCCTCAAGTCAAGAGATGGGTAGATCCTGGAAACTGAGCCACAAAATCAAAACGGTTCATCCAAGAAGCCTCATGCCTTGGTTTACCACACCACTGCACCAAAACTTGGTCAACAGACAAACCATGAATCAGGACAGACCTGATATCTAAAATATCAGCAGGAACTTGAGCTTGCACAGCAGGCTTATCCATTTCAGCAGGAAGAATAGCCACGGCAGGTAACTCTCCTTGAAACTGCTTTAGCTGAGAAACATGAAATACACCATGAATTCTTGCTGTGCTAGGAAGATGTAATTTGTAAGCCACCTTACCCACAACTGAAAGTACTTTAAAGGGACCAAAATACTTAGCAGAGAGCTTATTATTGCTCCTAAACTTATTATTGCTCCTAAACTGAACAGTCTGCTGCCTATAGCCCTGTAACTTGAGCGGGACACCCAATCTCCTACAACAAAGCTTCTTTCAGAACGTTTCTTGTCAGCTTGAACCTTTATTCTATGCTGAGCTTTAGTCAAGTTATCTTTCATAATCTTCAATACAACTTCCCTTTTTTGCATGCTTCTGTCAACCACTTCATTACTAGACTCACCAGGAAGGTAAGGTAAATGAATGGGGGGTGCTTGGCAATAGACAGCTTCATATGGTGTCATGCCAGCAGCAGTGTGGAAGTGAGTGTTATACCACCACTCACCCACAGGAAAATATTTACACCACTCACTAGGCTTAGCACTAGTTACACATCTGAGGTAGGTTTCCAGACATCTATTTACTACCTCAGTTTGACCATCAGTCTCAGGATGGTATGCTCAGTGCCATATAAAGAGAACAACCCTCTCCAAAATTGACTGAGAAAAATGGAGTCTCTATCACTCACAATACTCCTAGGCCAGCCATGAAGCCTAAAAATATTATCTAAGTATGCTTGAGCTACCTCAACAGCAGTGAAAGGGTGCTTAAGAGCAATAAAATGAGCATATTTACTCATTCTATCTACAACCACAAAGATCACATTTCTATGCATAGACATAGGAAGACCAGTGATGAAGTCCATGGAAATGTTTGTCTAGATTTGCTCAGGAATTGGCAAAGGCTGTAATGCTCCTGGTTTTGCTGAAGTATCATACTTTGAAGCTTGACATATGATGCATTTTCTGACAAACTGACTCACATCCTTAGACATGCCCTTCCAATAAAAGATATTTTTTAATCTTTTAAGGGTTTGATCTCTCCCAGAATGCTCTGCTTCCAGTGAAGCATGTTGCCAGGCTAACAATTTCTTTTTCAAGTTGTCATCTGGGCCCACCACTAGCTTGCCAAATCGTCTTAGTAAATTATCTTGCAAACTGAAGCCAGATACAGTTCCACCCTGACTCAATGTGGTCAAAATAGCTTGAGTGTTGTCATCCATAGCATAACTGCTAATAATATGCTGAACTAGGTCTGAATCTATAACAGAAATGGCCAATAACAAACACTCAGATCCTTGCACCCTAGAAAGAGCATCAGCTACACTATTTTCATGCCCATATTTGTATTGAATCTCATAGTCAAAGCCCATAAGCTTAGACAACCAAAACTGCTGAAAAGGTGTTGAAATTTTCTGCTGTAAAAGCCATTTTAGGCTTTTTTGGTCTGCCCATAAGCTATTTTCATGCCCATATTTGTATTGAATCTCATAGCCAAAAGCTCTTTCTCATAAACTGAGAGTTTCTGCCATTTTATACCAAGAGATCTGCTAATAAAAGCTAAAGGGTGCTGATTCTGCATCAAGACTGCACCAATTCCTGTCTTTGATGCATCTGTCTCAACTGTAAACTGTTTAGAGAAGTCTGGGATGGCTAGCACTGGGGCAGTCACAATAGCTTTCTTTAGATTAACAAAAGCAGCCTAAGAATCTTCTTTCCAGTCAATTGCTCCCTTTTTCAGTAAATCAGTCAAGGGTTTGCTAACCACAGCATAGTTACTGATAAACTTCCTGTAATATCCAGCAAGCCCCAAAAAACTTCTCAACTCCTTGACAGAAGCTGGAACAGGCCAAGACTCAATCACAGCAACTTTGCTGGGATCAGTTTCCACACCTTTTCCAGAGATAAAATGTCCCAAGTATTCCACCTTTTCAGTGACAAATGAGCACTTGTTGTCTTTAGCATATAAAGCATTCTGAGCCATTATATCAAACACCTGGGTAAGATGCTGCCAATGCTCATCCAAACTTTTACTGTAAACTAGAATATCATCAAAAAACACCAGAACACATTTTCTCAGCAAAGGTTTGAACACAGCATTCATCCAACTTTGGAAAGAGGAAGGGGCATTTGTTAAGCCAAATGGCATAACTAAGAATTCATAGTGCCCTTCATGGGTTTTAAATGTTGTTTTGAACACATCATTGGGATGTATTATTAATTGATGATAGCCTGCCCTTAAGTCCAATTTGCTGAAAACCACTGCTCCAGATAGCACATCAAGGACTGGTATGGGAAACTTGTTCTTAATAGTCCTTTTGTTCAACTCCCTGTAATCTACACACAATCTCCATGTGCCATCTTTCTTCCCCACCAAAATAACAGGGGAAGCAAATGGACTGGTGCTTGACTGTATAATTCCCCTATCCATCATTTCCTGCACCAATTGCTTTATGATATCCTTCTGTTTCAATGGATATCTATATGGTCTAATGTTCACTGCTCCCACACCTTGTTCAAGATGAATTCTATGATAAAAAACACCTCTGCTGAGAGGTAACCCTTCAGGTTCCTCAAAAACAGCAGAAAATCTTTGTTTCAGCTCTTGCAACTCATGGTGTTCCTTGTTCCCACCACACAATTGCACCATACAAGAACTTGCAAAAATAGAGCTGTCAGACACCTGTATCAAACAAATCTGAGAAGCAGCAGACATTAACTTCTGAGAGGGACCAGCTGCTAACACCTTGAGCTTCTTAGGGGAAATTCCTTGTAACTCAATATCCTCACCATTGAAGTGGAATTTCATGGTTAACTGTTTGAAATTCCAAGAGATTGAACCCAAAGTACTTAACCATTGAATACCAAGAACCATATCATAGTTGCCCAAGGGAATTAGCATAACATCTGTAACATATTCCTTACCTCCAACACACCAAGTAAACTGTCTGCAAATAGAGTGACAAACTAATTGATTACCATCTGCAATCATGACAGCTTGACCTTCAATGGGTTCAGCCTTACACCCCAATTTACTGGCCATATGAGTGTCCAGGAAGTTGTGAGTTCTCCCTGAGTCAATCAAGGTATGCAGAAGGGTATCACCTACCCTAGCTGTTACTCTCATGGTATGGTAACTTTGTGCACCAGTTAAGGCACTGCAAGAAATTCTTGGATCAAGATGCTCAATCTCTTCCTCAACCCCTTGCTCTTCCAACTGTACTACAACATAATCCACTTCATCCAACCCAGGAATCTCAATAGTGAACAATTGAGGTTCCTTGAATTGACATTTGTGATTCCTATCATATGGAG